GGGGGAGGCGGGTGCGGCGCCTTTCTGTTTCCAACAGCACAGGAACAGAGACCGCAGGCTACTAAGGGTCTGCTGTGTGCCCGCCCGTGGGAAGCGTCCACATGTGTTGCCTCCTGTAACTGAAGCTTCACGACAGCGTGATGGCGTCATGACTCCTACCCTCCCCATTTGACAGACTAGGATCCCAGATCTCTGGAGGTGAGGAGGTTGAGTCCAATCCCACAGCCCGCCGATGCCAAGTCCAGCTGTGAGGCAGTCAGGTGGTCTCAGCTCCTCAGCCTCCTGTTGTGATGGTCACTCGCACCTCCTCCCAGGCGCTCTGCTGACTGCTTCGCAGGTATGAACTCATTTAATCCTCACAAAGCCCCACAAGACGTGAAGTTGCATTGTTCCCTATTGCGGTTGAGGAAACAGTCACACAGTGTTGTGCCACATAGCAATGAACAGAGCGGTTCAGCAGCTTGCCTAAGATCACCCAGCTAGTAAGTATTGAGCAGGATTTGAACTCAGGATAGATGTGTTCTATCCTTTCAATGCAGAACAGTTGGAAGATCCACAAGCCACCCCCTGGGAGAAGTGAGTCCTCGTAAGGGTTTGGACGCCTGGTATTTTGTGTGTGTGTGTGAGAGGAAGATTTGCCCTGAGCTAGCATCTGTGCCAGTCTTCCTCTACTCTGTGTGTGGGATGCCGCCACAGCATGGCCAATGAGTGGAGTAGGTCCGCACCCAGGATCCAAACCTGTGAACCCGGGCCACCGAAGTGGAGAGGGGGAAATTTAACTGCTGGGCCATGGGGCTGCACACTTGGCATTTCTGTACCCCAGGACGGTCATGCAGCACCTCACACCTCTGTACAACGAAATTACTTTCAGAAAGAACCGTTGTAATCAGTATCAATGATTTTTTCTTTAGTTGTTCTTTAGTTTTAAAACAAACTATTAAAAAAGATGAAGCTTCAATTTAAAAATATGCTATTCAGATTCATTTAAATACCTTGTGTAGGAACTAAAATTTACACTTACTTGATAAAAATATCGCGTCTCACAGCTCCCACTCTGTTCCCCTGTTTTGAACTTTCAACACAGAACTCTAAGCGCTCTCAGAGAATGACAGGCCGAGTGCCTGGACCTCTGCTCCTTTCCCTCGCGGCCTCTGTGCTTCCTGTGCACTGCAGCTCTGCCGGGCGGTGCACGCAGGAGCTGAGCATGGCCCGCCCTGAACTCCCGGTGGGGCAGCGGGGGTCCCCGCGGGCGGGGGGCCAGCTCTGCAACTGTGAGGTCTCCTAACTGACCACGGTACAGAATACAATGCTGAGTAAAGGGTAAGTCACTTAAAGGTGCTGACCTGAGGCCTGCATACACATTACTAAAACTACAGTGACCATCACAATTGTTTTAGAATTTAGACCAACAAGTTTTTTGGGGGGAGGCAAATTTTATCATTGACTTTGTTTAGAATTAGTGGAATTTAGTGAAATTAACAAGGTAATAAAAAAAAAGACCAACTTGTAATCAGTTTTATTATTGTTTTAAATTTCCTGCAGACTCTGTGGAATGCACCACTTCTCTTCTCTGGCAACCCTGACCGCCACCTCAGAGCCTGGCACCCCCTACTTACCTGGCCACCTCTGGAACACGCCCTCACCCACCGAGAGAACTACTGTTGAGCCCTGTGGCCGGCCAGCTTCCCCTAGCTCCTGTCACTCTCCCTCAGGGGCTGTGCTCTTGTCCCTCATGCCACCTGTTTGGTACAAAGTTCATAAAGTACCAAAACCCATCTCCCCTTTGGCTCCATGTGCAGAAAACAGAATCTGTGCATAGGAAGTGTCATAGACATTTGTTGAGTGAGCGAATAAACCTCCATTTTCTGGGGGAGAACTGGCTGACATATATCGGGCACCTATTAGGTATGCCAGGAAAAACACAATGTGGCTTTGCAGATCCCCTTTCATTCGATTTTTAGTTCGGAATATAAAGAAAAAGAGAAGCCAGATTCCTGAACGGCCCAGAAACCAATCACTGTGCTCCAGAGTAACTGAGAGGTTAAACTCTCCCCGTGCTAGAGACCAGCAGGGGCCGTCTTCAGCATCGTACGAAGTCGAATTTTAAGGCAATTTAAACAGAAAGCTCAGCGTCCTCGTTGGGAGTCTGGAATGAACGTAGACAGGTGGGCTATGGCCCAGGGCACACGCCATGCTGTCAGGCTTATGGTGATTCTGGAACACTTGAGATGGCTCCCCCCTTCCCCCACCCCGAAAGTCTGCGGAGGAAAGCTCTCCAGCCTCCCGGCCGCCATTCCTCTTCTTTAACTCTCAGTCCGCGGAGAGGTTTGATGAAGTCTGCATGCTAAATAAAATGTGGCTGATCATCATCCAAGGGAGAATTCAGGATGTGAGCCTCAGCATTTCCTCAAAGTTGGCATCCAAACTATCGTAAGTACTTGGTAGAACTCAGCCAAATGCCACCAGTAACATAAGCCCTCCTCCTTCCGCCGAGCTCGCAGGCACGTGCCCCAGCGCCTGGCACTCTCCTGCCCCCTCCTCTGTGAATGGGAGAGGACAGCAAGGGACCTGGAGCTGGAGGCCGCCGGCTGCTGGGTCCCAGGTGAGGCAACCCAGCTGAGCTCAGCAGGCAGTGGCTGAAGGACCGAGGGACAGAGTGGAAGTCAGATGTAGGGGACAAGGAGCCTGGTAAGCACTGGAGAAACTGCGCTGTGTTTCCACACTCGGGTGGATAGTGGGGAGATGGCCCCTGCAGGGTTTACACAGCGGGTTTGGCTCCTGTGCCGTGTGGCAAGGGCTCAGTGGAGTCAGTCCCCGTGTCTCCCCACTTGTGCTCTCCCCAGTTCCAGAGGAGAGAGGGAAGCATGAGTTCACTGATGCTCGAGCAAGAGAGGCTCCCAGGGGCCTGTTCCCAGATCCTTCCTTACGGATGAGGGGAAGAAGAGCTGAGGCTGAGTAAAGCACGTTACTGGAAGTGACGAAGCAGAATCCATGACTCCCGGGGCAGGGTTCCTGCACTTTACTTGGCCTTTCTCACAGCAGGTGCTTTACAAACACTTCCTGGGTTCATAAATAAATAAACTGAGCGCACATCTTTCCCAGTTCATTTTCTTCTTTAAGATCTAAACACTTGGTTAAGTGAATACTAGTTGAGGTTGAAAGTTCCCTTGTGGGAGATGGCGAACTGCCAGCAAAAGCAGATGGCCTGACAAAGATCTGGGGGTCAGAATCGGCTAACAAGCTGCAAGTCACTCATTCAACCTGTGTCCTTAAGTACCAACCACGTGGCATTCGGGGTGAACCCTGCTCAATGACAATGGTTAACTGAGGCATCCAGCTCTGGGCTGCACGGATGGCGTGAACCAGGAGAAAGGCCCCCACTACGAGTGCAGGCCGACTGCACGCGCCCACGGCCCACGCTGTCGGAGTCGTTTTCTACAATGTGAAGAAGTTCCCTGCCTATAAATAAACCTTTAGAAATGCAGCTTCCCCCAAACAGAGGTCAACACTGAGCCTCGCCAAGCCTAAATGTATGTCCAGCTACACTGGCCTGGAGCTGAGGGTACCAGGCTTCCCAGGTCTGCTTGAACCCACCTACTTTACCAGCTTTGGGGCCAAATTCAGATTCCTGAGGAGGCAAGTCAAGATGAGGGGGCCAGGGAGACTCTCATCCCCAAGAGGCAGCCCCGTCTGATTCTTCTCCAGCCCAGGCCCTGTTTCCCCACCTGCAGTGGTCACAGCCTTCAAGGGCCCCCAGCCCTTGGTAGCAAAGCAGGAAGCCATGAAGTCCTCCTGAGGAGCTCCTGTGTCCTTCAGCTCTGCTCCAGCCAGCGCAGGAAGGGCTGGTCTGGATCCTCATCACCTCCTGAATCTGCTTCCCCTCATCTGGGGCCAGCCCAGTCTGCGCTGCCCTCAACTGTGCCTGGAAACCTGCAGTTGCCTGCTGAGTGGTCCCCCCACACCACTCGGGGTCTGTCAGCCAGCTGCTCACTCCACAGCGGGAGGCAATCCTCTACACGGCGGTCTCAGCATGTCGTCCCCTCAGTGCTTCCCCCTGGATTTGAGAACAGAGCCCCCAGTCCTCATTGTTCAGTCTCAGAAGGCTCCGCCTTTCCCTCCCTCCAACTCTTCAGGCTCCAGGCTCACTGCCCTTCCTTCACTCCTGCGTGGAGTCTGAGTTGAGCACCATATCCTTTGTGGAGGCTGAAAGCCACTGAGTTCCTAAGCCCTATGACACCCTAACTCAGGTCTCTGTGGAGAGCCAACATTGCACATGCTGGTGCCATGCCCAAAAGCTGCCGCTGTCGTTCTCCACTCGAGGGTATCCTCTGGTGTACCAGGTCCTCACCATCAGCCCAGAGCGCCAAGGAGTTGCCACCACTAGGGAGGAGGGGAGCTGGAGGAGAACGGCCCAGCCCCCTCTCCTCAGCTGGGAAGATGCTAACACGTGGCCAGAGTCTCCCAGAGTGCCCTGGAAATGGCGCTCTAGGAGCCCCAGGGCCTCCCCATGTTGGCTCCTCTCTTCCCTCTTTCAGTTCGCTTCCAAAATAAACTGTTTCAGTTCCTCTCACTTGCCCCAAGTCCTTGTCTCAGGGTCTAATTTGGGGAACCAACCAAACACAGCCCTAGGAGCAAAACATGTCTGATTGCAGGAAAAGAGCCCTTTGATCCGGGGCCTTTGGTGAGCTGCTGTGCTGAAGCTGGCCTGCATGGCTTGGGTTCTCCTTCTGCGCCCAGAACGCCGGCCCTTCCTGGGAACCCTGAGCCAGTGAGGCAGGCGTGCAAGCCCAGGGCCACGAGCCAGAAGCATTTTCATTTTTTCTTTCTGATGCTTTTTGTGACGCTGCCACATCACAGCACAATATTTGCACTGTGAAACCCTGAAAACTGCCAAATTTCACCCAATTTGTTTTAATGTTCTCAAGGAGCTTGGCATCGTGTTAGAAACAGACATTCCCACGGCCCAGTGCCTATTTAAAAACTGCCTATCTATTTAAAGTTCACCATGAGGGGAATAAAAGAAAAAAGACTCCCAAAGCCAAAAGGAACGTGAGATAGGCAAAAGGAAAATCCAGTTTGCTTCTAAAAAAGGCTGAAAATTATAGCCATCCGTGGCCTCATGTCTCAAGTCTGAGGATGTTTTTTTCTCTTCTGGTTGTTTGCAAACCCAAGTGGAATTTTATTATGGGTTACTGAGTGAGCTGTTTCAAGTTCCTGGTCCCAAAAGTCTCGACTCACTCTTTAGCCTGCCACTGAGCTTCCTCATGCACAGAGAGAGAATGGAGCCCAGACCAAGCAGACAGCGTCTCTGCGTCCTGCCGACTTCCCCTCGCTGCCGTGTTTCCTCAGCGCTCAGCCGGGGACCCGGCAAAGCTGCCCGTTGCCTTTTATGAACAACAAAATCGTGATGAAGGCAACAGGAGTCAGAAAACTATTCACTGCAGGAAGCCCCAGTTTCCGGTGAGATATAAGGAGCACCACAGCACAGGATGCGCCTGGGGTCAGGGGGACGTGAAAAGCCGTCAGCCTTTGTGTCCTTCTCTGTGCCGGAGCGTCTGCTGCTGAGCCCTCAGCTCCCCTCGGGGCTCAGCTGGGGCCGCCGCGGTCACCGCCGGGCTTCTAGCCTCCCACCAAGAGGGACAGGGAGGCCACCATGGCCACCTCCGCCGGCCTGCTGCTGCTGCTGCTGCTGCTGGGCCAACCGAGGGTGGGTGCCGGGGCTGAGAGGAAGGCTGTGGTCTGTGCGGGGACCGCCTGCTACACGGCGCACTGGGACAAGCTGACTGCGGCCGAGGCCCAATCTCACTGCAGCAAGAACGGGGGTAACCTGGCCACGGTGAAGACTGAGGAGGAGGCCCGGCTCATCCAGCGAGCCCTGGCCCAGCTCCTCCAGCTGGAGGCGCCCCTGGTAACTCGGATGGGCAAGTTCTGGATGGGGCTCCAGCGAGAGAAGGGCAAGTGCTTGGACAGCACCCTGCCGCTGAGGGGCTTCAGCTGGGTGGGCGGCGGGGAGAACACGTCCTATGCCAACTGGTACAAGGAGCCCAAGAACAGCTGCACCTTCAGGCGCTGTGTGTCGCTGGTGCTGGACCTGTCCCTGCCTCCCCTCGCCAGCCACCTCCCCAAGTGGGCCGAGGGCCCCTGTGGGAACCCCGGCTTTTCTGTAAACAACATCGAGGGCTTCGTGTGCAAGTTCAGCTTCAAAGGCATGTGCCGGCCCCTGGCCCTGGGGGGCCCAGGCCAGGTGAACTATACCACCCCCTTCCAGGCCACCAGCTCCTCCTTGGAGGCCGTGCCGTTCGCCTCCATGGCCAACGTGGCCTGTGGGGACAGGAACGAGAGTGAGTGGCATTACTTCCTGTGCAAGGAGAAGGCCCCCGATGTGTTCGACTGGGACAGCTCGGGCCCCCTCTGTGTCAACCCCAAGTACGGCTGCGACTTCAACAATGGGGGCTGCCAGCAGGACTGCTTCGAGGGGGGAGATGGCTCCTTCCGCTGCGGCTGCCGGCCAGGGTTCCGGCTGCTGGACGACCTGGTGACTTGCGCCTCCCGGAACCCTTGCAGCTCCAGCCCGTGCAGAGGGGTGGCTACATGCGTCCCTGAGACCCTCGGGAAAAGCTACCTGTGCCGCTGCCCCCAAGGCTACCAGCTGGACTCCACTCAGCGGGACTGCGTGGACGTAGATGAGTGCCAGGGCTCACCCTGTGCCCAGGAGTGTGTCAACACCCCCGGGGGCTTCCACTGCCAGTGCTGGGTGGGCTACGAGCCTAGCGGCCCCGGAGAAGAAACCTGTCGGGACGTGGACGAGTGTGCCCCAGGCCGCTCGCCCTGTGCCCAGGACTGCACCAATACCGACGGCTCGTTCTACTGCTCCTGCAAGGAGGGCTTTGTCCTGGCAGGTGAGGATGACACCCAGTGCCAGGATGTGGACGAGTGTGAGGACTCGGAGGGCCACCTCTGCGACAGCTTGTGCTTCAACATGCAGGGGTCCTTCCGCTGCGGCTGCCTGCCAGGCTGGGAGCTGGCTCCCAATGGGGTCTCCTGCATCATGGGCACCACAACCCTGGGGCCACCAGCTGGGCCTCACCAGGGGGATGACATGGGTGAGAGACAGGGGAACCTTGTGCCTTCTGCCTCAACGTCCAGTCCCACCAGGGACCCCAAGGGCACCTCCAAGGTGGCTCCCACTGTGAGGGGCCCCTCCCTCCTACCCAATGCTCCCATCACCCCCACCCCACCCAAGACGATGGTCCCCAGTGGGCCCCCTGGCGTCTGGATGGAGCCCAGCACCCATCACCCCACGGCCAGCACTGGCCATAGGGAGTCCACGGGTGGAGACTTCGCGGCCAAACAGAACGACGATGGCACCGACGGACAAAAACTGCTCTTATTCTACATCCTGGGCACCGTGGTGGCCATCCTGCTCTTGCTGGCTCTGGCTCTAGGGCTCCTGGTTTATCGCAAGCGGAGAGCAAAGCGGGAGGAGAAGAAGGAGAAAAAGCCCCAGAGTGCAACAGACAGCTACTCCTGGGCCCCAGAGCGAGCTGAGAGCAGGGCCACAGAGAACCAGTACAGGTAAAGGAGGCCTGAGGTCGCCAGGGGAGGGGGCGGGGGGCGGGCCTGGGAAGCGGGAGGGCCGTGACTGAGGCAAAAAGCAGGCGGAGGGCAAGGGGCAGGCGCCATCCACACTGGACAGCAAAACCCCAACGCCACTGCCAACCTGGAGGCTCCCTCAAGCTCTCCCAGCGCGGCAGCCCTGCCTGCATCGCAGGTGCACGTGGTCTCTCCCGGGTCTAGACGTGCACGGCAACTGGCAGCAGCTCCCAGTGGTGTCACCTTTTGTTTTCCACAGTCCGACGCCGGGGTCAGACTGCTGACGGTGAGGTAACCTAGAGACACTGACGGGCGGCAGCACTGTCCTCAGAGCCCCACGCGCCCTGTTGGAAGGGGGAGCCACATTCTTCCGAAAGACTGGCCTGGAATCTTAGCAACAGCTGTGCACCTCTCCTGAAAAGCTCGGCCGCTCGGAGCGTGCAGGTGCTCTCTACGTGAGTGTGGCGTTCCTGACGCAGAAGCCGTGGGTTGGGATGTCTCTGCGGGAATTATGTGACTATTAACAATTCTCACTCGCTCTCCCTTTTCCAACCCAAATGTGACTGGTTTTGTTTTCTCACTGATTCTGGCCCAGGGCGTTATCATTCGGGGCTAACGGCTCCCTTTAAGCTGCTTCTCTGTCCACTTGTTCACCCAAACGAAAAAGCGGCCAGCTAATGCTACTTAGGACTAAAAGGGTCTGTCCCTCTTAGTATAGCAGAGACTAAGTCAGTTAGTTGTTTAATGCTAGAAGAAGCTCTTTTTCTGGCCAGAGGCAACAAGTTCAGGACTGGAAGCACCTCCCTACGTTTGGATTCACACGCTCTCCCATCACAAGCCCTGCTGAGCTCGATGTCATTGAAATCCTCCGGAATGACTAGAAGTCCACTGAACTGCTTGGGTAGCGAGGAGGCAGGAAGTTTAGAAATTGCATTTTCTAGTTCTTAAGTTTCTAATAGTCTTGGGTTTATTTGCAAGTGAAGTCTGAAACATGTGAGAAAAGTTATATGAAGTGAGTTTAAAGTATTTTTTAAAACAAGTCATCTAAGGGCTGGAGAAAGGGGTTGCTTTCAGAAGTCCTTGAATGGATGCATCTATGTGCACTGATGTTGCTCTCACTTGACTATCAATGAGACCAACACTCGCGAGGAAAAAAGTCAAGGATGCCTGTCTCTGAGCCAGTGCAGCCAAGACACCGCCCTGCTGCCGGCCTCCGTGGCAGGCTGCTCTGGATTCGGACGCTGATGGGAGAGGGAGGAAGCACTGCAACGTCTCTCGTCCTGACTGTTACTAAAGGACGTGTGAGGGAGACGCATGCTGAGTGTGGAGAGCTGTCGTCGTGGGGCGTTTTAGCACAGTTCACAGTCCACACTGCATCCTGAGAACTCGATCCTGCTCCGTGGCTGCAGCTCGCACCAAGTCAGGGACCAGTCATGTGGGAGGCTAGCCAGTGCTGCTTCAGTCCCCTTTCTCTCCTGTCCTTAGAAAAGTGGGGGAGAGGGAAGGGAGAGAGAAAGAGAAAGGAAGTAAAATCTTTTGCAACTGCAAAAACTAGTCAAAGCAATTTTAATCTATATCCTCGTTTTTAAGTGCTCACCTGTAAAGATTCCCCTTACCATGTGTGGTCGACAGCGCTCTCTCCCGCACGGTTCTGCCCGGCTCCCTGGAAAGCAGCCCGGGATTCCCTGGAGGTCAGAGCTGCTGGGGGCCGGCTGAGCAGCGCCGGGAGGCCTCGGGTCTCCTGGGAGCTTTCTGCTGTGCCCTCGCAGAATGGACAGAGAGAACGAGCAGGCTTCCTTCTCAGATTGCAAACTGCCTCTCAGAACGAGGGTACCCGCTCTTTCTGGTTTTGCCTTAGAAATGCATCTGCCCGGAGGTCACGCCCTGGGTGGACAGAGCCTCAGCCGCCAGGTGCAGGGCCTTCAGAGCCGCATAAATATCCTTTTGCCAATTTAGAAATGTAGATGCTATAGATCAGATTTTTTTAAGAAAACGGAAAACTGAAGGGGGCGAGGTGGGAGGAGGAAAGACGGAAGCTCTGTGGGGCCTAACGGGGGGTGTTCAGAACTTCTGCCTTTTTAAAGTCACCTACTATTCTTCAGTTTTCACTCAGAATACTGATATTCAACACTCAGAGGAGACAAAGGCAGTTCCTCTGGCCACAGGACCGTCGGCAGTTTGTTGTATGGGAGCCAAGTGTGTGGCCATTCAGATGATTTAAAGATGCGGCCGGATGTGTTGCTGACCAGTACCTGCACTTCCACGAAAGGAATGCAGATGCAACATTCCCCTGGCCTTCCAGTCCTGACCCTCCTCGTCTGGGGCGGAGGAGCCAGGCCAGCCCTAGGCTTCCCCTAAGCCCTCTTGTGGGCCTGGAATGGGCCGAGGGCACCCACACGCCCTCCCGTTTTCAGTGTTCCATTTCTTCTACAGCCCAGCCCATTTTCTGGTCTCTGTGTTCAAATTCTTCTGTGCGTGGGAAGAAGCAGCCCCGTCCCTGACACTGGGGAGACCGCGGATGCCTGCTGTGGGACCCACAAGGGGAGAAACGGGCTGATGAATAATAGTTTCTCAAAACCCCCTCTGGCAAGTCAGCCCCTTCACAGGTGAATGAGCCCTACCTTCTCTCACAGCCATTGCTGACCAGTGGCCAAGATCCCTGAACAGGATGACCTCAGGCAGTGCATCTGATGAAAACCACTGACCTCAAACAGATGCTGCCTTTGCTCTCCCTTTGAAGACCACTGCCATTTTGTCTGAGGGATGCAAATCCTTGCTTTGGGGGAGTTCAGGGGCCACAGCAGTGGATAGACAAATGTCCACAGGCCACATGGCCATCGACAAACCCTCCGCTTTATCCAGAGGGGCCCCAAGTGGCTTGGCTGTGACACAGCCAGAGAAATTGATGGGATGGAACACGGGAGAGGTGGGCTCTGCCGTGTGCAGACTCCTCCAACCACGTCACCGGGCTGGGCAGGGGCAGACCCGGTGCAGTTCTGTCCCTGACATGCTGAGCAGCAGAACAGGGGGGCGCTGGGGACAGGGAGCAGGCTCCACTTGGTGGCAGGCTCAAAGACAATGGAGACTTTCATCCAAAAAGAATTTCCCATAGTTCAATAATTCTGGGAGACTTGTGGAAAAACTCTATTTGAGACAAACTGCCCCCCTCCCATCCCCCAGGCAGATAATTTAAAGGGAGGATGTCTGTCTCCCTAAACAGGAAGCCCACTCTGCCCATTCCTGAATTTCAGGGGCAATCCCTCTCTTTTCTCTTGTTATTATTTGGAGAAGTCATGATGCAGGAGGGCAATTGCCTTGGGGAAGCTGAGGAGTAAAAGCCAAGGGTGGGGCAATTGTCGGAAAATGTCCCAGGATGGGTGGACTCATGAGCGCCCTTTGCAGGGTGAACCTACCACTGGTCAATGGCATGACCTCGAGGCAAAAGCAGCCCGGCTGCTGTTGCTTTTGGTGACCCACCCGCCTGATTGTCATGGTGACGTTGTGGTGCTCCACGTCCGTCTGGCGTTGCCCCGGCACATTAAGTGGGTGAATTAACTGGGTTCTGAGGTGAGGATGGAGGAATGCAGGCTGCAGCCACTGCCAGGTCTCGTGGGGCTGTCTCTCGCCCTAGTGTTATTCAATGGCAGACCAGCAACCCTTCAGAAAGGCTCCCCCAACCTCTTTCCCTTGACCAGGCGAACAGTGGAATAAAGAACCTGTATGTGTGTGTGCTCCTGTGTATTGTGCAGGAGGCGCTGAGTCAGGAATGAGTTTCTCTCTGCAGCACACGCGTGCGTGTTGCTGTTCTCGTACCTTCTGATCGTGAGCCCCTGTTTGAGCATCTTGTGATGGGACCTGGAGTTTTATCACAAACATCTTCTCTTTGGAGAATATGGATTTGACAATTAGCTACTTTCATTCCAACCCTCTTTCTCACAAATATTTCTGTGAAAACTAAGAGAACAGAGATGAGATTTGACAAAAACATGTACTGAATTCAAAATAACACAGTTTTTTAAAGCAGATATAGGAAAGCCTTTTCCTATTATTTTTCTTCTTGGCTTCTCCATTGTCTAAATCAGGAAAACAGGAAAGCATTGCTTTCTAGCAGCTGCAGAATGGTGTAATGTCCCCTACACGTTTCCATCTCCTTAAACAATAGCTTTAGCATGGGAATCTGAGACACGACCCCTGAAAACAGCTGTCCCTATCTGGCTGCAAAGCCCACTGCTTACATCTGCATGGTTTGTGGCGTTGGTCACCCAAAAACAAAGAGGGCAGTAATCGAAATTCTCCACGTGTTCAATAATCCAGTACCTTATTCCTTTCATATTCCAGAAGTAATACTTGCTGAAGTGCTTTTTAAAGATGAATTGTGTTTCGGTCTGTTCTTGGCGATAATGCCCGTGTATTTAAGGAAGAACTCTGGCATTCCCTTCTCGCAGTGTTCCTCTTTTCTGCGAGGAGGCAGCCCTTCCCTGCAGCAGACTTTGCCTGCTCTTACCCTGGGCTGAAGTTCTTTTTGCATATGTGGCTCAAGCTTGAGTTAGATTGTATGTAAAGCCTTGTTCTGTGATATTAGATGCGATCGTAAATGTCAGTAATCACTCTTGAACGCCAAATGAGAATGTAGGTATTTTTAAATATGTGTATTTGAAATGTGTTCCACCAATTCTGGAACCGTGGGTTTCCATGCGGGGTTTATTTTCATCCCAGGCGTGAAAGTTGCCCAGGTGTGGTGGTGGTGGGGGAGGCAGCGGGCACCCGTGAGCTGTGCCTGGCTCCTCAGAGCTCCAGGGACAGAGAGCATCTCCGGCTGGCCTCAGGAAGTAGCAGGTGTGTCCTCCTTTGTGCGTTGTTCTGTGCACCTCTCCTAATAAACTCTGAAAAACATGTGTTGTCAATGTGCTTTAATATGTTTCATAACAACTCAAAATACAGGGCAGAACTTACATTCGCAATCATTAAATATATGCACTTTCCTTTTCAAAGAGTTGCAAAAAGAAGTTACCTTGACTGCCCCATTTCTGCATCCTCACCTGCTGGAGGCACCCAGAGCACACAGGTTGGGAACATGGACATACGGAGGGCCTGGGCTGCACTGTTTCTAGTGACCCAGCTGCCAAGACCCAGGCTTGACTCAATGCTTCCAGATTTTGCTTTCTGATCCGGACTCCACTCTTCCATGCTGCTGTCTTCACTGCTTAATTCCCTGCATCTTTTTAATTGCATGGTGGCACCTGGTGCAGGATTAAACATGTCCAATTGGTGTGATGTGAAAACACCATTCTACAGTTATCAGTGGAGCATTTATCACCACTTTGTCAGCAAAGCTTTTTCAGTTTATTTAACTAATTGGACAGGCAGACCAGATCGTCATTGTTTGGCAGCACAAATCTCACTGCGACTGGAAGCCGGGGCAGCAGATGGTGGCTGATTCCAAGCCACCTGCTTTTCAGACTGTGCCCTTGGTAGGAACAGGGCTTAGGTAGGATAAAGTGCTCTGCTCTGTCATGCTAATGCACAGGACACTTGTAAGAAACATTCATTACTTAGGGGTGAGTAAAGCTGATCCTTTTAGCAGTCTAGTCACTAACCAAATACATTTGGAAATTATACCTTAATATGAACAACCATGGCTGCCCCCTCACCACACACACACACACACACACACACACATGCACCACACACAACACGTTTACACATCCACACACCCACAGACACATAAACATGCACAATTTTAACATCTTTCTGTTTCATACTGACAAACCTGAGGCCAGTGTTTCCTAATATAGGAAAAGCCCAAGAACAAAAATGCCAGATTTTAATGGTGACTCCTCTTGGTGACTTTTGCTATTTGCTAAGTAAAATAACTTAAACGCTAGATAAATGTTTCAAATACGATTCATTTACAAAAACAATTCAGCTCATACAGAGTTATATCTACTGCACATGCAAAGTGCACTTGTAGCAGACACTCTATAGATTAAAATGTAGACTCTCACATATATTACGTACATGCTGGGGCTTTGACACCAGTCAATGAGCAAATCAAGTTCTCAGCCAGTTTTTCAGTATTTTCCATAAGAAGATACAGAGAGCAGAGATGACGAACCTGAAAACCAGAAAGCCTCAGTTCAGCCTCTCCTTGAGTTATATTTTGACATTACAGCTGATTTAAAAAAAAAAAAAAACGATGGGGTTTTGAACTGATGGGTGACACAGTCTCATGGGTTTGCCCCTCACATTTTCTTTATACCTACCAGTCATCCTTTTCAGAGGAAACGAAGGACAGGTAAATGATGAAAAAATGAAGAAAGAGGCAAAGGATGTGAAAGGCCAGGTTAACTCATGAGGCCAGCAACCACCCAGGGACTTAATTTGACAGGAAGCCCCTCACAGGACTGCGAAGAGGCCCTCTCTGGAGTCTCCCAGGCCCACAGCCAGATGCACCAGGAGCTGCCGCCCCCTTGAAGTACAGCTATTGGGTTTTACTTTGAGGTTTGTCACCGTTGACTTGGATGTTGATCTTCTTTTGCGGTTGAAATTGGCCCATTGAACTCAACTGTGTTGAAGGAAGGGAGGGAGGGAGGAGAATGAATGAATGGAAGAGAAAGAGAGAGAGTGAGAAAGAGGGAGGGAGGACGGCAGGGAAGGGGGAAGGGAGAAGGGAGGGAGGAAGAGAAGGAAGGAAGAAAGGAAGGAAAAAGGAAGGACGGAAAGGAAGAGAATGAGTGAATGGAAGAGAGAGAGAGAGGGGAAGAAGGAGGGAGAAGGGAGGAAGGAAGAGAGAGAGGGAGGGAGGAAGGGAAGGAAGAATAGAAGAAACACAGAAAAGGAGGAAAGGAGAAAGGAGGAGAGAGAGAAAAGGGTGATGAGCAGACGCGGTGAAGGTCATTGGGCCCTCCTTCGCATGTCTCAGTTTTCAGTTTGAGGTGATTAGGGGCCGTGCCCCTTGCTGCATCTGGAGCTTCCTGGACCACACCTGCAGAACAGCGGAGCTCTATTTCTGCTGACCTTGGCTGGGGACCAAGAACCTCTGTATCATGTTCTTGTCTTCTTCTCCTGGAAAGCACTGCTTGTCTCTTCTGCTTCACATTTTGTGCCTTTTCACATAATTTATGTCGTAAAGTCTCAAGCTGGGTCCACGGCTTCTGCTCTGTTGAGATCCTTCTACGTTCAAATATTATAGAGAAATAATAAAACTTGGGAGGTGGAGGAAAGTAATTGTGCCTTTTATCTCCAGAGTCAGCCCTTCCCAAAAAGATTATGTCACAAATTAAATGTTCCACGCCCTCGAGGATGGAGCCCCTGTGCATCCTGCCCTCCTCACAGTCACAGAGCGTGTGCCGGATGCAGGTTCTGCACATCCACCAAACCAGGCTTGTCCCTTGTCTTTGTCCACGTCGTTGTCTCGCACAGTGTGTGGCTTTTTCACCTCCTCCTGGTACATCAATCAGTTTTGACTTCTACTCCAAGCTGTATGGTTAGGTGATCGATACATACTTGGCAGAACCTTTTCCAACATGAAATCTAACTTTTTGAACATTTTCAGGTCAAATTATATTTTGTCTAACTATTGAAACTGACATACGTGATTAATCTCTTGCATTTGGTGAATACTAACTTTTTCGGTTTTTAAACATTTTTAAAAAATTTTCAGCCTTCTTGTGTCTCTTTATGTTTGTCTCTTGTAAACAACAAAGCTGAATTTCACTTTTTTCCCCCTTTATCCAATCAAATGTCTCTCTCTTTTACTGGGAGATTTAACCTGTTCACATTTACTGAGATAGATAAGTAAATTTTTGGTGGCTTAGTTTATATACTCTATTGATAATGTTTTCTGGGTGTTTCTATTCTCTCCTTCCTGTCCTTTATCGGCTTGATGGAGGTCTCTTTGTCTGCTTTTTCTTTCTAATAGTTTGGAACTTTATAAGGACCACTTGTATCTTCAAATGTTTAGTCTTAATGCTTTACCCTGCATACTTAAACCAGTACCTTCCTATTGATATCTAATGTTAATTCATAGCTGTATCCTGCTCCCTGAAAAAATAGACAAACACTGCAGCCGTCTGTTACTTCTTCTCTCCCCCTACTCCCATCATCCACCTTGATTGCACCTGCATTTTATTTTTCGGTTTGGTCACGAGTGTCAGGCGCTCTCCTTGCCCTCGCCTCGCTCCCAGGCTCTCGGATTCCGTTTTCACGGGGGCGGCGGAAACACAGGGGGTTTGGTCTGTTTTTTGTCTTTTCTGAGCGGGCAGTGGAAGAGCAGGTTTTCTGCATCCTTGCGTGGCTGGAACGCCTGTTTTCCCAGCTGAAGGATGGCTTACCCGGGTGTGGATTTCTGCCCTATAAGCCGCTGGCCCCCGGAACCTGGCAAAGTAGAGTGTCGCTGTCTCGCAGCCTTTGTTCCTGATCAGATGGCAGATGATTGTCTTCTTTCAGGAGCCATTTCTTTTCTTTTCTGTTCTTCCCTGAATGCTTTTATTCTTTCCTCGTTCTCTTTTGTGTTCTGAGGTTTCACTTCAGCTGTGCAGCCTCACCGGGCGAGCACGTCTCACCTCAGGAGTGTGCTTTATTCCAGCAGTTTCTGGACTTGAGCAGGTGGCTGTCAAGACCCCCTGGAGTCCCCTGCAGCAAGTCCAAACCCAGACAGCTGTGAGTCAGCGGTCTGGATGGAGCCCAAAACGTGGCATTTCTAACAGGTTTCCAGGTGAAGCTGCTGCTGGCCAGGGGACCCACTTGGAGACGCTCTGCTTTACTCAGTTTAGGGGAGTTTTCCTCTCTTATTATTCTGAGCACGCCCTCCTGTCCACTCTCTCAGCTCTTATTCTGGAAATGATTTCTATTTTCCATGTCCCCTGACTTTCCTTCCACACTTTCCATCTTTCTCTCCTCTGGCAATGGCTTACGAAATTGCTCCTTCTCTCTCGCCCTCCCAACAACCCTTGCTCTTCCCTGCTTTTTTCCAAAGCATCGGTCACCTTCTAACATGGTCTATAATTTTCTTCCATAATTATGATGTATTATTATTGTCTATATTTATAGATATGTAAGTCCTCTCAGGGCAGTGTCTTTTGTCTTTTGGTCTCTGATATGCCCCGGGCATCCAGACCAGGCCTGGCATACAGTGGTGCTCAATGAATATGTATTGACTGCATGGCTGACGTGGGGGACTAAAGCAGTGTGGCAGGCAGGGCAAGCCAACGCTGCCCACTGGTTGGTCCTGTTTGAAACTTTGACGTCTGTGACCTCTCTCTGCCTCACCAGCCACCAGAGTCCACCGACTCCATCCCCACAGTCTGCTTGCCCGTCCCCTGTCTCTGGGTCAGGGCACTGCCCACACTCAGGCCTTCACTACTGCCCCCGCAGATTGCTGCCATCACATCCAGCTGGTCTCCAGGCCCCTTCTACCCCAGCTCCCAGAAGCAGACCTGGAGACAAGGATTCCAGCACAAGTGGTTTACTGGGAAGTATGAGGAACAGATGTAGGGTTGTGGGGAAGTGACGTAACCATGGTAACTCTGGGAAATGTCATTTCACCTGAGGGCCAAGGGAACTGGGTATTTGTATGCCAATTGCAGTCAATAATGGATAAGGGGCTGCTCCAGGGGGTGTTGGGTGATTCCTGGCATTTCCAGATGACTAAACAAGTGGGCAGAGGGGCCTTCTACACTTGGGCTGGGGAAGCCATCAGGTACAGAGATGCAGACACAGATGGACTATGACGTACACACAGTGGGGAGTCTAAGGGCTTTGGGCCGGGCAGTGACAACACCCTCACACTGGGCTGAGACGCCTCTTCCTCCCACCACAAGGCACAGCCCAGCTTCCTCCTGGGGAAGCTAGGTCCTTGAGGAGGGAGTTCTCTTTCCAGATTTCTCTAATGG